TTCCCCGCGCGCCGGAGCCTCCGTACCTCTGCACTTTACTTTCGTAGCTCCTCTGAGTCTGTGTGCTCTTCTCTTTCCTTCTAGTTGTAGAATTTCCACTCAGCCAGCCTTCCTGTGGTTCTGGATGATGACCGTTCTGTCTTTTAGTTGTATTTTTGAAGTTGTTGTCGGAGGCAGCAATTTCCGGTGTTTTCCTATGCCGCCATCTTGGTCTTCTTCTCTGTAAGATGATCTTGTGCCTGAATCATTTTCTTGTATTGGCAGTAGATTTATTGACATTTCTATATAGATAATATTATCTAAAAGTAATTCCATTTGATCATTTTATCTGCAAATAATTCTAGTTATTTCAATTCTTTATGTTTTTCTTACCTTATAACATTGACCAGTATACCCAGTGATATGTTAAGTGGAATGCATATCAAGTGTCTTTGATCACTATCTATGCTGTTCCAGTTGGTTAGAAAATATCTTTTTTTTTAAAAAATAATTTGTGGCTATGTTTATAAGTAAAATGGCCTTATAATTTCCTTTCTTTTCTAGACTTATTTAGGTTTAAAATTAATATTAATTTTAAACCTAAATAATGTTAATTTTAAACCTAAATAATCTACCTTTGCAAATATTTTCGGAAACTTCCCTTTTTTCCTACTCTCTGAAACTGCCTTTATTAGATAGGGATTATCTGTTTCTTCAAAGATGGCAGAACTCTCTTATATAATTTTCTGGGCTAGGGGAAAATTTTTGGTTTCATTTTGTGGTTTCATTTTGAGGTAAATATCATGTTAATAGAAAAGCATGTTTCTTTTACATTGAATTTTTAATCAATGTTAATTGTAAATTTTTTCAAAGGAAATAAGATAGCTTTTATCTTTAGATGAATAATAATTAAGGGGTAATTGTTACACTTCATATACCTTGAGTCAGTTTACATTATAGATTATATAGAAACATGTTTTATGTGGAACTGTACAAAGGTGAGCATGAGTGTCTTTCATCTTAAGTTCTTTCAAAATCTCTGTGCTTTTGTCCCCTCAGGACACACGGGACGGTTGTTAAAGTCTCTGTGCTTCACCAGTCTTTCCTTCCTGATACTGCACATCATTTTTCACATCACGTTGGCTAGCCTCGAAGCTCAACACCATATTGCACCTGGTTACAACTGTGAGTACTAATGTGTTTTGGATTATGTATGTGCACAATAAAGCTATGTGTCATAACTCTCACAGAAATCTATGTAATAATTATATTATCAAATTTATGACAATTTTTGGTCATTTGGCAATCCTAAATATTATATATACACATAGAGACACTTTGTCATGGAGAACTGGGTAATACTAGCAACTTAATTAAATGAATTTCAATGTATATTAGATATTAGACCCCTATCTGTATGTAAGACATTATCATTGGGCATAATCCCCAAAAATCAACATTTACATATAGTCCCTGGAGCTTACAGTACAGCTAATGAGATAAGACATGTACAGTTTCTAACATGATAAATAAGAATATATAAAAGTAGAATACCATTATACCCTTTAGTGACCTAAATCCTATTCTGAAGCACAGTATAAAAAAGATTTTATATGTCTTTATGGAAAAAATGTAATGACATATAGTTTCTTTTTAAAATTGGGAGTTCTGTGTTCCTATTTATAGGAAAGTAATGTCTTATATGCATTATATTTTGAAGTGGTGATAATAAAAATTCAACACATATATGCTTTATCTAAATAGTATCATCTTTCCAAAATTAACCTGCCATCAGTTCAATTCTACTTAAGTTTTTGAAGGATGTATGATTGTGATTTGAACAAAAAAATAGAAGCATTTCAAATAGTTGGGATATAATTCATATGTTTTAAGTTAAGCCTCAAGAAATCCTGAGATAATTGAAATACTATCTAATAAAAGGGTAATATGCAAATTAACCATCACCCCGTCACAAAGATGGCGGCGCCCATAGCCACAAGATGGCGGTGCCCAGTCCTCTCAGCCCCGCTGGAGTCCCCTAGTCCCAGGGCGGGGGAGCAGCAGAGAGCGGGCAGTGTGATTGTCCTTGTGGAATACTTGCTTTGTCGCTGTGGTGATGAGGCAAGCGTTCCACCCCAGCCACGGAGGGCCTCTGGGCAGAAAGCACAGAGCGGCCGGGGGTGGGGTAACGCTTGCATCGTTGCCCCGACAATGAGGCAAGCATTCCACACCCGGCCGCGGAGGGCCTCTGGCCAGCTGGGCGCAGAACACTTGCGTGGTTGCAGGCCGGGCTGAGGCTCCCCCCGCCCCCCCACCTGATGCACGAATTTCGTGCACCGGGTCTCTAGTAGACTATAATAAGTTTTCAATTGTCAGTTTTTCTTTGAAGAAATCATTTCTGAGTTTGAAATTTCCTGATCTTCATAAGTGCAAGTATAAGTAATTTGAAGTAAATCTATGCTTCCCTGTAAAATAAAATAAGGTCAAATTCTTTATAAATCAGAGTATTAACATATACATAATGAGAGATTCTTTAGTAAAACCATACTTATAAACTATTGAGTAACTCTCACTGGGTAACTTGAGAGAGCTAAACTTTACAGAGTTAAAGTTTGTATTCATTTTGGTCATTTTTTTGAGATCAGAGGTTTTTCATTTAAGATCTGGTTATTATTTTAAAAATTGAAATATAATTTATATACCAGAAAATTCACCCACTTAAAGAATGTAATGCAGTGGTTTATAGGTTGTGCAATAATCGCCACTATCTAATTCCAGAACACTTTCATCACTCCTAAAAGATACCATGTGCCCATGAACAATTACTTCCCATTCCCTCTTGACCCACCCTTAGGCAACCACCAATTTACTTTCTGCTTCTATTAGATTTACCTACTCTGGACATTTTATGTAAACAGAATTATGCACCATGTGATATTTTGTGTCTGGCTTCTTTCTCTAAGCATAATGTTTTCAAGGTTTGTCTATGTTGTAACATGTTTCAGTTCTTCATTCCTTTTCAAGGCTAAATAATATTCCATTATTAAGATGTGGTTTTTTAATGTTTGGTAGAAGTCACTTTATTATTAAAAACTTTATAAAATACAATGTTTAAACATAAATAGAACTTGCAGTGATAAAGAGCATTTATTACATTTGGCCAGTTTCAAATCATTTTGGATTTAGTAGAAATGATATCAGTGATATTTTGTAGTGCTTCTCATTCAAAAATCATTTGCATATCTATATATATAAAAGCCTAAGCGACCGAAAGGACCGAATGACCAAATGACTGGTTGACCAGTCGCTATGATGTGCGCTGACCACCAGGGGGCAGATGCTCAACGCAGGAGCTGCCCCCTGGTCGTCAGTGAGTTCCCATAGCAGGAGTACCGCTCAGCTGACCGACCCATCCTGGCGGCCCAACAGCCCAATGGCAGCCACTCACTCTCTCAGTAGTCCTGCAGGTCCAATCTCCGGAGAACGGGCTAGGCACCGACGGACCAACGCTGTTGGCATGATCCCAACAGTGCTGCTGGCCTCCTGGAAGTCAGCCTCGGCACCCCAGCTGCTTCCCCTCCCTAGACACTCTGCAAGGAAGAAATGATGTAAAAGTGGCCACCAGGTTGCTCCTGACAACCGGTGCAAATGTAAACGGCACGGATCCAGATTCTGGGCCGGCAAGGGCATCCCATGGCCTGCCCGGAGGGTGATCGCATCCTGGCCCTACTCCCAGCCCTCTTGGGAAGGGCGCCAGACATAGGGCTCACAGCTGGCGAGTGCCGCTGTGGCGCTTCAAGCCTCTCCTGATCAGGACTGACTGGGCACGAGCCTGCGGCAGGCACAGTGGGGCCAGGATGAGCTGGAGCAGAAGGCAAGAGTGGCAGGTGGCTTTGGGCTGCTGGTTTCAGCCCAATCCCCGCAGGCCACGCCAAGGGACCCAACCCATGCACGAATTCATGCACCGGGCCTCTAGTCTCTTAATAAGTCATTCCCAGAACTATAAGGAAGAATTTTGAACCATCAGTGTTGTCTGAATGAAAGGCTAGTTCACAAATAATGAGTTCCTCATCTCATGAAATACTGTGAAGTATGGAATCACAGGTATATTTCAAATAATCAGATTTTTAACATTTGAGTTTATAAATATATATACTGCCTGCTTTTATAAATAATTTTAGGTGCTGAGTGATATTGTAGAAAGGATTTACTGGCAGTTTCTATATTAGGAAGTGAAATTCATAATTTCTTCTGATTCAGAGAGACTAGGTATTTATATTGTTATTCAAAATGATGATTTTCCACAATTCTACAAGAGTCAAAATAAAAAATGTAATCTATAATCATAAAAGCATAATATGCTAATTAGACCAGACATCATTCCGGACGTCCTTCCAGACAACCTTCTGGACAAAGCCGGGGCTGTGAGGGAAGCCCGGATCCCAGGTGCCAGAGGAAAGCTAGTGCCGGCAGCTGGGGGAAGGAAGGCCTACTCTTGCACGAATTTTGTGCATTGGGCCTCTAGTAAGTAATATTAAAATAATGTTCCCTTTCTTACCTTTATAAATGTATTTACCCTGTATAAGTTCTCCCCTATAGGGTCTAGAACCAGTGGTTCTCAACCTTCTTAATGCCGCGACCCTTTAATACAGTTCCTCATGTTGTGGTGACCCCCAACCATAAAATTATTTTCGTTGCTGCTTCATAACTGTAATGTTGCTACTGTTATGAATCGTAATGTAAATATCTGATATGCAGGATGTATTTTCATTGTTCGTGACCCACAGGTTAAGAACCGCTGGCAGAAAGACATACAAATTTTAACACACACACACACACACACACACACACACACACACACACACATTAGTTCTTCCTTTATCTTCTAAATCCAAGGCAAGGATTCAAATTACTTAGCTACTCTGGATGGTTCCTACATTAATATTGCGAAGAAGTCTGTATTTCTCAGTGGCGAAGGTGTAGGCATCTCAGGTGCAGTCAGAGCTAACCTCCTGGCATGCCTCTTCCTAGGCATTCCTTGCAACTTAATCTTGGGGAGTTAGACCTGCCTCTTCTAACCTCAAGGCCTAAATATTTGGGCTTCTACATACCAATGCATTTCTATGTCTGTCTCAGAGATATTTTGATTCATGCACCATTGCCCTCTATTGTTATTCTTCATGCAGTATCACATGAACATGTCCGGAACTAATGTATTGTCCTACCTTTTTTTTTTTTTGATGTTCCATGAAGAGCCATTCTAATAAAGTCATGAGATAAACTTTATTTCTACCAGGTTAGATTCTAATTTAAAGTTTATTTCTACAAAAGTTAATGTTCCAATTTGAAATGTTGGTATTCCTGGTGAAGTAACTGAGAGAGAAGGGATGTGCTAAAGATTGAGTTTGAAAAGGAATTTGAGCTCTACTTCCAGCCATAAGCACCTTGAAAGTGGGTTTACAGAAGTCATAAATTTCTTCTGAAAAACGAGTGATGCATGCAACAGCATTGGCTCATTGGGTGTTAGAGATTTTTTTTGGGTTAGTTTCATGTGCAGCATTTAAAAGTAATACATTCTTGAAAATGGATAAAAGAGAAGGGCAAACAAACTTCAGAGCTTTGCAAACTAGTTTGGTCCAAGATTGACACAGACCAGGTTTTCAGCCTAGAGCATTTTTTAATGATCAAGTTATATAAAATCCTGAAAACACTGTTAGAGTGGGTAATGGAAACACTGACTTTTAATTTAGAGTTGACTTCACCTCACTAATGTTATTGTTTCTTGAGCATTTGGAGTTTTGATTACACCATCAGAGTTGTAAACACAAACTCGGCTATTTTGATATCCCACATTGGAAGTTCGGCCTCTCTTGGCATTGGTAGATGTAAAGTAGCAAAATTTCAAATGAAAAGACAAAAAGCATCTTGGCCAGCAGTGTTGTGCATTTTGAATGCTTTCTCTATGTTGAAGACATTGGTAAAATCAAGTGAAATAACCCAGACAGATTGGGTTTCCCAATCATATTCAAGCGGTATTCAAATTCAGGACCACCAAGTGCTCATTTATATGTGTTTAATTTTGTTTTCCTAACTCCTCCTCTCCCCATTTAAAGCTCACATACCCTCAGCCTTATTATGGCAAAAGCTCCCAGTATCCCTCAGGAATCTAAGACTCATGTTTGGGG